CAAGAGCAAGTGTAATTACATTGATCCCAAAGTAGAAAAGAATCAAGAAAAAGGGAAAAACAAATAGATAAAATGTCAAGCACGGAGGCCATAAAATGTTAAGGGAAAAGATAAAATAGTCATCACCAAGAGCATTGATAAGGTCATGTAAAATTACCATTGCTTCTCTTGCAGTAAGCCTGTCCTGATGATCATACCGAAGAAGCTTGTCAAGAAAATCAATCGCCTGCGTATCAACAACAAAATAATGAGTCCCTATATCCGTTTACAAGAGCTTCAAATCAAACAGTGTAACATGTAAAAGATGAATGTAAGGTAAATGACCTCTGGAGAAACTAGATGCTGATTATCTGCATTAATAAACTTAGACCAGGGCTTCCGGCTGTGCCTGCAAGAGAAAACAGAAGCATATGATAAGATTTTAAAGCGACACTTGTTTTAAACAATTTATTATCCAGGACTGCAATTCATATTTTTATGCTGCATAGATGGGGAAAAGTTTAAACCGTGGCTTTGACATAAAAGATATATGCAAGATGTATCAGATAAATATAGATATCAACTGCACATTCAAGAAGAAACATTTCAAAGTTACCTTCCAACAAGGGCATCAAGTTGTGGGTCAAGCTCTAGGTGATATTTGTTTAAATATGCATTTAACTCGTCAGTCCCAAGTACCTGGAAATGCATGTGAGCCGCTAAAGTTACAACGTTGCATATGGTCCGACGCATATCTAGCATGCATATACGTAAATGATAAATTTGGCAATAAAAGCCCTATACGTGTATTCCAACACCATACAAAACGGTAGACTGGTAGTAACCTAATTGTTTTCTCCTTAAACACATTATTAACACCCATTCAAAACATAACAGAAATCACTAATTTCTATAGTTACGTGAAATGTTCACAGAATATATTGGTCAAGTTCTTTTAAGCTAAAATAGTACTAGCATTACCTTGGCAATTTTGACAAGCTGATCGTGGTTGTCATGACCATAAAAGAATGGTTCCTTGCGAAATATCTGCGTACATTACAAGCAAAATGAGCAAAGCAAGCTTCTGATTAACCTCATTCAAACTACAAGGGATTGGCTCTTGTGTGTTGTGAGTATAAATTAGTGTTTGTAATCTCACCATTCCAGCAAACATGCAGCCGAGGCTCCACATATCCAGAGAATAGTCATAATCTTGCAAGTCAACTAAAAGCTCAGGACCCTTGAAATATCTGAAGAAAGAAAATTGATCTTACAATAAAGATAAATTGGCAAACTAAATAATCAAATAAAAAACGATTCAAACATGATAAATCACTCCATGTACCATTCCCGTGAATGATATTAATTTAAGGATTAATGTTCTGTGAAACATTACCTTGAAGCAACACGAACATTATACTCCTTTCCAGGATGGTAAAATTCTGCAAGACCCCAGTCTATCAGGCGAAGTTTTCGCAACTCGTGGTCTATCATAACATTGTGAGGTTTGACATCTCTGTGCATTATTCCTTGTGAATGACAGAAATCTAATGCCTGTAATACACAGATCATTTATTCCATTGAGGTGCATTGAGTTCAACACCTTTGAGGTGTACAAGCAACCCGTTTTGTTCACTTTTTCTTTCTTTTCTATAGTAAAGTATCTTTACTTGACAGATGCAAAAAAGAGGTTGTACAGAAACAAGTCTTACAGACAACAAAGCCATACACAAATAATAAGAATCCTTTTCCGAAAAAGAGAATTCTAACAATGAAAAATCATTTGGGCTCCATTGCAACAAAAGTATGTATGAAAGAAACACGGACAATTTAACTATACATGCAAATACGTTGATTTACATGACTCTATTACATGTAGCATATTGGCAACTTAAAAATACAGTTGCGGCTTGAGAGCATCGCTGAAGCAAACATTGCAATATATATGATACAAATGACATTATCAGAAATTCCAAAAAAGCCCTGATCAGTTTATAGCACCCAATGAGAAAAGAGCTGAACAGACATTTTTTATTTTTCTAAATCAAATGCATGAATTACCTTGAGAAGCTCGTATATGTAGTAGCGAATGTCATAATCAGTCAGTGTGGGGTACAAAACTTTGAAATCAGTACTGTTCACAAACTCAAATATCAAGCTAGGAGTTTTTGAGTGCTGATCTCTAACAATATCAAGAAGCTTTACTATATTTGGCCCCCCACAAAGGTTCTGGAGTATTTTTATCTCTCTCTTTATCTGCAAAAAGATCCATAGGTTACCTTTTTTTTTTCTTTTTTCAAAAATCAAAAAGCAAGCTGAATTCACCAATATCATTGAAATATGACATCAATACATAGATAATATAGAAAATTGGAAAATAAAGCTACAATCTTTACTACAATGAGATGGCGGAAGATGTTCTTACTCATATCTTGGCATCCGAATATTTGTTCAATCATCAATAGCACAAAACTAAGGGATTATCACAATACAATCATGAATTCTAATGAGCGGGATATTACAAGAATAATTTCCAAATAACCCACCACTTGATTATATGCTACTGTAACTTTTGGAAGGAGATTCAACACTTTACCTTCTTTTTCTTCACAGGCTTAAGGATCTTGATAATGCAACGCTCATTGCTATTCACATTTATCCCTTCAAAAACCTCACTGTATTTTCCCCTTCCTACTTTGCGAACAACCTCGTAATCATCTTGATCCCTGAAACAAACACAGAGGTAAAAGTTCTTTCATGATTTAACACACAAAATATAAAAGAAAGTTGAACAATACAAACAAAATCGGTAATCAATCAATAAAAAAAAATCGAACTTTCTCAGCTTTTAACACAAAAGTTCGATCTTTTTAGTGCATTCATCACAACATAAAGATACAGGAATTCTCAAGTCCTTCAAAATGTGATCAATGATCGGTTTCTTATAGGATACAAAGCAAGAGATCCAACTTAAAACTAGCAAACTAAACGTAAAAACACAGCCTCGTCTTCTTCACGATCTTGATTCAAAAGGATGAATCAGATATCAAATTAAACTAAGCTAACACAGTCCAAAAATTCTCAGAATCTGTATTTTCTTATCCAATCCAATCCAAAATTTGCTAATCTCTGAGCTAGGGTTCCAAAAAAAAAAAACGAACTTTACCCCCATTGAACGGTGAGGGACTCGTAGTCCCAGTACTCTTTTGGGCGGATGACATTGACGTCGGAGTAGACGCGAGCTTTGGACATGGCGGCGAGGCTCGTCGGAGGGGAGATCTCGGCGTCGGCGGTGGGATTGGACCGATGTGCTTGATTAGCGACAGAGGCGGTGGTTTTGAGGTTGTAACTATTGGTTGGATTTTGATCTTGGAGAGAACGGATGCGCACGTTAGGAGGGTGCGCAACCGGCGTACGCGAGGCAATGACGGTGCACACTAACAGGAAGCGGAGGACAGTTGCTGGGTTGTGCGCATCCTTCATGTGATGCACCACTACACCTCCCACTGCTAACTTGCGCCTTTTGTGCTTAAGTTACCCCGGAAAAAAAAATAAAATAAAAAATAAAAAAATTACAAACTGTCTATGGGGGTAACAATAAAATAAAAAATAAAAAAATTACAAACTGTCTATGGGGGTAACAATAAAATAAAAAATAAAAAAATTACAAACTGTCTATGGGGGTAACAATAAAATAAAAAATAAAAAATAAAAAAATTACAAACTGTCTATGGTAACAATAAAGTAAAAAATAAAAAAAATTACAAACTGTCTATATGTTTACTTACTAAGATTGAAGAATGGAAGTGAAGAACGAGAGTTAATCTTATATTTATTTGCTATTTTTTAGCTTGAAATGTGAATGAAATTGGTGGGTCCTACTCAAATTTAAAATTGAGGAATGAGATTGGCATTCTCATGCCCTCCCTTGGGATTGAGACTCACATTTCTAATATTAATATCAATTTACTATTATACCCTTATTTACTTATAAATACACAATTTAAAAAAATTCAAAAAATAATAAATGCAACATATATTTATTATTTTATTTGTCTAATATTATTTTTATATTTTAAATAGTTGTACAATTTATATTTATTATTTTAGTACCCAATTATTACATTAAATATTTTAATTATGATTAATTTTAATATAATAAGTACACAATATTTTTTTTAAATTGAAAATATCAAATTGATTTAAATGATATATTAATACTTTTACACTTTTTTATTCTGATTCTGTGTGTAAGTAAACGTATAAATGAGATTTGGAATGACTCCGATTCTAAATCATATCACTAAGTAAACAACTTATTTTGACTTCGATTCTTCACTCCGAATCCTACCAACTCCGAATCCTGTCTACTCTGATTCATGCTGATTCCGATTACGCATAGTAAACATGATATATGTTATCAGGAGTTAAATCTATGACGTGGCTAGGAATGATTGGTTAGGTGAAATGATTTTTCTTTCAGTCTTTCTTGTTGGGGATAGGCCGTTCCAAGTAGAAAGTTAATACAGAGTTATGGTACTTTTGGTACGTTTGCGTTGGCTTTTATAGAAGTTTCGGTTCTTCTTCAGTTAGGGGCTTCAATGGTTTGATTTGATTTTGGAAATTTTTGTGATAGGATATGAACAAAAAAAAAAAAAAAAGTGTTACGGGTGAATTTTGTCCTAAAGTATCAAATGTGTATTAATTCTATCAGTTTTGTATTTTTTTTTTTTCATTTTGATGGTACCCGTAAAAAGCGCCATTAAAATTCTATTTTCCTTTCATTAGGTCATATTTCTCAACTTCAATTACGATTCACAACTCGGTTGTTTATAACTGCAATTGCCAAAAATTCACACAAGAACTAAGGATGAAAGAAATTCGAAGGTGTTACAAGATATTGTCGGAAGCTAAAATCAAATTGAACAGTTATGTCACTAGGGAAAAAGAAGCTGATGTATTTCACGACACATTTTGCTTGTGTATTCCATATATGACATGATAGCATCAGCATTTCCACTCTCAATATTGTATTATGCTCCATTATCCTCGTATAATTTCAAAGCAATACCAAATGTTGTCTACCATGCAAGAATGCCTAATGTTAATGGAATACAATAAAAAGAAAGATGCTTGGAACACCACCGGTGCTAAACATCACCATAAATGGAAGGTGAGTTTCATACTACGAGACCCACATTCTCTTAAATAACACCACCGGTGTCCTATAGCATTCTTCCAATAAAAGCAATTAGCACTTTGACATACCTATAATAAACAAGCCTTGTTAAGAAAAGCAAAAATTGTACCAGATATCATTCTGGCGGATGCAAGTATACCCTATCTTGTCTATTTTAACCCACCTATTGAATTTGGATTCATATTTGTTTCATATTTCTTTACACAGCTTTGGGTTGGATTTGCTCAAAATCGAAAACCTCAAACATGAGGCGCCTCACATCCGGCTTCCCATAAATAGTGTATGAGAGCCCATGAAGGGCTTGTTGGACAGCAGTTGTGGCTGGATTCCGTAGTCTTCTATTGTGCTCATATTTATCTTGAACCTCTTCCGAGTAGATGATAAAGTTATGGAGACGCTTCTCCCTTAAATACCGACCGCAGAACTTGTTCATGACCAATCGGCGGTGCCTCTCCTGTATCCACTTTCCAGGAGCGTCCAAGTGCTTCATCAACAACCTTTCTGCCATTACAAGATCCTGATGATGACAATTTGACAAAATTTCAGTACTTGAAAGTTGAAGCTTTTGTCCTTAGAACGTAAAGAGCCGGTTTTCATTGATGAGGAAACGTTTTGATACCTGGATTTTTTGGCCAACATATTCTAATCGCTCGTAGCAAAACCGGGGATGCTCAAACTTGTGCTTTGATGGATGCAAGAAACACAACTGTGATGAAAAACAAAAAAAGAGTAAAATAGACATACATCCTTGATAAAAATTGTTAACAAGTGAAAATTTCTTCTAGAACTCCCATCTCTGGCGGGTTTAAGTCAATGGGATTAAGTTGGCATATGCTAATTCTTCTGGAGAAGTTTGCAAGGGTAAGAAAATGAAATGCTACTCAGATACCACGGTAATTAATATTGAGAATCGGATTCAACAGCCAACACAATAAACATAATATACTAGTTTAGCATTCCGCCTGATAATATTTTACATAACTTTCTTAGTTTCCCTGTACCTCAAAATTTAGTGAATAGTAAATGTATAAATAAGGAAAATGAAGAGATAAAAGGGAGGAAAATAGTCACCTGTAGACCAAGTCCAAGTTCAATGTTCCTGGCTTCTGTAATGTCTGGAATTCTATCTTTCATTGGTAAGGGATATCCCAGTGCTTTCATAACTAGCGGTCGGCCCTCATAATCCCATATATTTCCTCTGAATCTGTGCATACCTGGTGGAACACAAGCCCTGAAGAGCCTAGGGTGCGCAAAAAGAGCATCTTCAGGAGGCTGCAGAGGATAAAACATAGTGTTAGGAGAAATTAAAGTTTCCGACTACTGAATAAATAACTCTAAATTATGGCACGAAGAGGCTCGTCATTGCTGTTTTATATTCTAAACTGCTACATAAGAAATTAATAAATAAAAAATAAAAAAGTCACTGTTCTTTCACATTTCTAAAACTGCTGCAGATATTGGTCCATGAGCTTGTCAAGTATACAGAACTTGAACATTAACTCTAACTTCTGGCCCCGGAAAAAAAACCAACAGTATATTGAAAAGATACTGCACTTTTCTGGGGACTTTAAAACTCCAGAAACACGGATGATTATCTAAATCTAGGCATTAGTCATTGAAAATTATTTCGTACCCTCATACTTGGATATGGATGGATGAACATGATGATTGCATTAGATACTCTAAGTTTCCTAAGCAAGATCTCTGGAGCTATGTCTTGGGTATTCTTTATTGATGGATGAACACTGAAAACAAAAATGCAGAGGAAAAGTAAACTCACCTTGTAGGTAGCTACATCTTGCCAGCTAAGTTTGTTGCCGCCTTCAAATTCAACCGAAACACAATCAATATCTTCAAGCTGTCTCCTTAATTTTGGCTGGCAGTCCTCAGCTTCTGGGTCCATTCCAAACACTTCAAAAAGAACACGGTACACTTCCGGCATACCAAAACACAAGTATATTGCCGCAAACAAAGCCCAGAATACAGACCTGCCGAAAAAGACAAAACCTTTGAAGCTCAATGAGCTTTTTACTCAAACTAAACCAATATGCCACATGGACCTCACACAAACTTGGACTCTCCATCAGCATATGATATCATTTGTTACTGAAAGGCAACACCTAAGGAATAATTTAAGGTAAAAAAAAAGAAAGAGAAAAGACCCTATGCTAATATTTACCATTAAAATCGTTAACAAAGATAGCATTAACAAAGATGGAGATGACATCCCAATTCAGACCAAGGAAGGCACATTATCATATAGTTCTTCATCTTCACTCAAAACACATATACTTTTGCATATCATAATGCCTTATATTTTCTTCCTAAAGGAGAGAAAAACTAAGGATTAAAATCTTCTAAGACAAGAGGTGTAAACAAGTAATAGAAGGTATAGTATTCACGTTGAGCCTATTCTTAAGCCCAACATCGAGCTAGCACTTGAGTCTAGAAGCTTAAGCCTCACCAGCCATTTTACACACTGATCTAATATGCAAGTGAAAAATTTAGTATGCAATGATATCTGTTTCTTTCTATTGCAAAAAACTCACTCAAAAGAGTACTTTTCTTACTAGAGAACTATAATACTCAACTACGAGCCAACAATCGCTAATTTCACTTTCTCTCATTTGAGTTAAGAGCTTGAATTAAAAAGTGAATTCATGTGAGAGAATCTCGTAAATACTATAGCAAAAAATAAAATAAAATTAAATTTTTGTGAGAAAAATACTATCGTGAAAACTTGAGTTTGATTCTAACTAGTGAAACAAACGGGGCCTTAAAGGTTGTCATTTTGGCGAACTTCCCACAATATCTATGACAGAGACAAAACAAACACAATACCAATAAAACCAAGTTGAAGAAACGAAGAAAAAAAAAAAAAAAACCAATCAAACTTACTTAACAGGAGGCTCCCTATCCGTCCTCAACATCTTATCCATATTATCGTAAGGAAACACAATATTCTGCAAGCTGGCGGCTTTGATCCACTTGGGCAAATTCCTCTTCCCGATCAGCGCATACACCCTCTCCCTCATCGGCCCCGGCGACTCCCTCGGATACCTCTGCAGGAAAAACTCCGCGAACGCCAGCTCAAGAACGTACTGCCCCAGAAAGCTCAACCTCGAATGCCCCGACCGCACATGTCTCGCGTTCGTCCTTTCGCAAGAAGGATGCTGGAACGCCAAGTACAGAAGCGTGTCGAATTGCTTCGCCGGATTATCGTCCCCGAACCGATAGGAGGGCTCGAGCGGGTACCCGAGGGCCTGTTTGGCCTCGAGCAAGTATTCGTCGATCCAGGTTTGGTCGGCATTGTTGAGCCGCGAAGAGGGCAAGCAAGAGCTCAGCAATGGGAACGATTTGAGGGACAATTGGGGGCTGTTGAGGAATCTCTCCGCTAATCTCTTGTCGTCCAATGGAGGTCTGAGCACGAACCGCTTCGGCGGGACCTTCTTCTTCGGAGAAGTCGCCTTCTTGCGCTCGGCGAGCTCTTTGAGGAGTCGCTGGGGAGAGTTCCGAGGGAGGTCTTGTTGTGGATCGACGGCGACGGCGAAAATTCGGAGGTTTCGCGATGTTGGGGTTTTCGGGTTCAAGGTTTTGAGAGAAATCCGGATTGGGAAGGTTGAGAAGGAGGACGAGAAGGAGTAATTTGAGGGGTTCGGGAGGTTCGTGAAGGAAGAAGAGAGTTCCATTTTTGGAGCTTCAATGGCGAAGCAAGATGAAGAACTGGTTTTGGGTTTTGGTGGATTCTAGAAGGAAGTGGGGTTTTAGGGGTGGGATTGATCCGCCATAGATGGAGGGTTTAGTGAGACTGGTTCGGTTCTTGTGCGGGTTTTGGAGGTTGGATAAGGTGGAAAGAGCGCCACCAGTGAACTCTCTTTGATATTTTTTCTTGCTGGTGTGTGTCGTTTTTGGCCACTTCGTACTATGAAACGGTGTCGTGTCCTCTTATTATTGTAACTTTTTCATATTTTCCTTCTCTCAGGACAGGATACTTTCATAGCGTCGAGAGAAGAATTATCCACATTTGTCACCGGAAAATGGTAATATGGACGTTTATTTGATGAATTTATAATTATGATTTAAAATTATTTTTAATTTATGTATATTTTTTATAAAAAAAATATTATAACGAATTATAAATTATAATTTAAATTATAGTACGAATTCTTACTCTAAATGCACTCATAATTTGTAAAATTAAACGTTGAAATTTACCATTCGTGAATTTTAATGTTAAAATTAAACGATAGACTTGTGAATTAGTATTGATGCCGTGAATTAGACTCTTGGCATTTAACATTTAGAAAATGCTAAAATTTATCAAATTTTCTTAGTTAAAGATAAATTATCATGTAAACTATATAAAATATTTATATAATTTTCAATCTTCCCTTCTTTTCCTTCTCTTCTTTCTCTATTTCTTTAAACATCTTGGTCTGACATCAATATTGTTGATGTGTTGTTGAAAATACACCAAAAAGAAGAAATGATTGTTGAAAAGATGAGAAGTCAATAAAACATAAAATAATTAAAAAATGCACATCTGTATTTACCCAAAGTCAACTCCATTTTGTTCCCTTTATATGAATGAAGTGTTAAGATTTAAGAGGAGGACTGCAGCTAGGATATCATATTCAAACTTCAATGTTTGGTAGGGGTGGAAAGTAAAAAGAAGGAAAAAGACGGAGAGATTTTAAGAGAGGAAGAATTAAGTGAGAGAAAAACTAGAAAGAAAAATAGAATAAATATGATCCTATCATATCTATCTGTCCATAAATAAAAGATTTTAGAAGAAAAAAGTTATCATACTCGCAATAATTTAAGTTTCTAAATTCCCTTCCAGTCAGCAATTATCTATATAAGATTATTTAATGGGTTCCACTTAAATCATGTGTCCACTTATGAATCCTAAAGTTTCCTTACGATCGATCTGCCCATCATCACACTTATAATTAGATAAATTTACTTTTTTACCTCAATTAATATTATAAATTAATAAGTATTCGCTTTCCTTATTTCACACTAAATAATAACAGCACCTATGTTTTCCATTTGGTTGAGTTGCTCATCAACTGTGTGGATTGTCTCCCATCGATCTCTAAATCTGTGTGGGTTTAGTTATTTTCTGTTGGATATTAGTCTGTGCGGAGTACTTGGTGGCCTCTATGCTACATATTATGTGCTCTCAATCGATTGGATGTCTCCATTAATTGTACAGATATTGTCAAAATGAGCCTTACATGTGCTCTATTATCGGTGTGCCGAGGAATGTTCCCATCATCGGGTCTTGGTACAAGTCTTTCTCCTTGAGCTTCACCAGATTTTATTGATAGAGCCATTTGAGGTTGAGGGTATTATCTCATGTAATTGGGGGCCATTTAACTGATGCAATCACTTTAATGAAATACCTTTTTTGTTCAAAAAAAAAAAAGAAACCATTTTCCTTTCTGCCATTGTTATGTTCTATCCCTTATTTTTTGCTACCTTATTTTCTATCCCTCCTATTAAACATAGTTTAAGCACCAAGAATATTATTGTATTGGAGATCAATGTTTCTTTTCAAAATTAGAACTGTAAGTTTATGTCGGACTAAAATGGCAGTCCAAAGCTTGATATTGTTGGCCCGAGCCCGGCCCGTTTAAGTGTTTGGGCCGACCCAACCCATCCCACTTAAGTGTTTGGGTCGACCCAACCCAGTCTTAATTCTCAAGCTGGGCCTAAGTTTCAAACCCGAAACCTTATTCGGGAACACATCTTTTTTAAATTTTTTCTTAAAAAAAAGTACATTGTAAATTGATAGCGAAGTGATAGCGAAATGGCACCGCTAGATCGCATAGCAAGTAAAAAAGTCATAACAGTTCAGAGGTAGTAAGGGCGAGTGCCTTGTACTCTGCTTCGGCACTAGACTTGGAAAGAGTCAGTTACTTTTTTGAAACCCAAGTCAGTAGATTTTTCTGAGAAATACGCAGAAGCCAGTAGTGGACTGTCTGCTATCGGGGCAGCCAACCCAGTCGGCATCGGAGAATGCAAAGAAGGTGGTTAACGGTCCCGGAGTGATGGTTAGGCCAAGGCCAAGAGAACCCTTCAGATACCATAAGATGCTACAGCCTGGAGATGTACGGTGGTGAGAGCGTGCATGAACTGACAAACTTGATTGACGGCATAGCAAATGTCAGGTTTGGGTCAGGAAGTCACTCGTCGCCACATTATCCGTCTTGCCCAAAGAGGGTGCCCCGCCTCTACGTTCTCAAGTAGTGCACTATTGCTGTCATCTCCTTCTCTTGGACCACGCCTTTCGGTCTCATTGAGCTTTCGGCTCTCATATGCTACTGGGTTACCTTTTTATACTAGCACACCGCCTATGGCATAGTCTGACGCATCCATGTGTACTTCAAATGGCTTAGTGTGATTTGGCAACTGCAATATAGGGTCATCTATCACTGTCTTCTTTAGGTCCTAAAAAGCTCTTTGACACTCTTCCGTTCAGTACAGTGCCATGATCTGTCCGTACGTCCTTCTTTAGGATATTTTTGAGTTGAGCAGCCCTCTTCGAGTAACTTACGATGAATCTTCGGTAATAGTTCACGAGCCTTAAAAATGATCTTAGCTCACTCACCTTGGTAGGTGCTTGCCACTCCTCGATGGTTCTGATGCCCATCCAATGCCCTACGAATAGGATCTCGGTCTGTCCAAAGGAGCATTTCTCTTTCTTTACATAGAGGTGATTCTTCCTTAATACCTTAACTTAAAAAGGGTCTAGAGATGGCTAACGTGGTCGTTTAACGGATAGCTATAGCCCACGATCAAAGTATACGACCAGTCGTCTAAGTACGGGTGGAATAGCTCATTGTGGAGGGTGCATAACGTGGCAGGGGCATGGGTGAGTCCAAAATGCATAACCAAATCCACCCTTCATTAGTAAGGTTGCTTGCTTGTCACACAGGTAGTCTTTGGCTCGTCTCCTTCCGCGATACGCACTTGGTAGTAGCCCAACCGTAGATCCAACTTTGAGAAGTATCTCACGCTTATTGTAAAAAAAGTACATTAAATCAAACCAGCCAGACGCGAAATTCTCATTTGGGTTCAGGGCGGGTCGCTTGAACTTTCACCTCTAATTCAAACGTTGAATTTGACGTTGTATTTGAAATTCTCTTACTTATAACCCATTTGTGGATTGGTATTTCAAAGGCCGGCTTGAACGTTCCACTACTTTGGACCATCTACCTGGTCTGGTTGTTGATGGTTGTCATCCTCAGACAACCAACCCCGGTATCTTACCGATCGATTAAGAATTTTTCATGTCTACTTTTGTGCCTGGAATCTGCGGAATCATGCATTGAATGTTTTGCTCTCTCCATTTTTAGTTTTTACCATCTTCACAAAACCAGTTTGTATAGCTTTAACTTTTTTATTTAGGCATTGTCCTTTTTACAAATTTAAATCACAGTTTAAATTTATTTTTTACAATATTTTTTTTTATAAAAATTTAAATTTTTTATTATAATATTTTTTTTCACATAAAATACTTTGAGCTGTGAAAACTACACACCCTTAGATTTTTAAGAAGATCACGTGACAAAGACATATGAACCTCTCTGATAAGATCACACAATGCCAAATTGTATAATCTGCACAGTACTACTATAACTGTTTCTTTTTTTCCTTTTTTTTTTTCACTTCTTCAATGTCATAGAGTCAAGTGAGAAAATTAACTTGAGAGACATGCCTGAGGTGACAAGTCACATATGCCAGTTTAAATTGTTAGGTAGATTAGCAGAAGTTATAAAGGCGTAGCAGAAAAATGTGCAGTTGTGAAAATTATTGTTCGACTGCCGTCCTTCTGATTTTACGTCACTTGATCTTGTTCCTCTGATCACATCTATTTCTCCAATATATATGCCGTATTCTCCTGTCTCTATCTCAATTCTCAAAGCCCACCTCACGTTAAGAATCTTCTTCAATAGAAAATCACCATTTTCTCTGTGTGTGTGTGTGTATATATATATTATACAACTTAGGTTATATACTAGAGAATTCACTGATAAGTATGAGTAAATAATAAGACACTGATATGAACTATCAGATGTTCATTATTTTCGTTAAATTGTTATATTTTTCTTGATACAATATAATTATGATATAATCCAATATCTTTCTTCCACATAATTCTCATATATATGCTTTGCCTTTATAGAGCCAGCATTATTATGCAGTAGACCGGATGACAGAATCACGGAAATCCATCTAATCAGAACGCCAAAGGGCACTAAGTTCTTTTTTTTTGTTTTTGTTTTGTTTTGTTTTTTGTTTTTTGTTTTTTATTTCCTTTTCCGAAGGTTCTTTTCAATCGGTCCAGTTGTAATATTCTCATGATATGCTCTTGTTTTTGGAATACTTGTACGCTGCATCAAGAAGTGTATATAAGCCTAAAGGGGGAGATATATATATATATATATATATATATTTTGTGAGAATCTTTCCTGTGGAAGATCAGGAAAGGCCATCAGTTAAAATGTACACTGTTTCTTTTTCATATTGTGGTCATTTTCTGGATAAGCTGGAGAGGTATTTGCAGATTTTCGTACGTCTTTATCCATCCTTCTTATGTTTTCATCATGTGTGTGACTACATATACATATATATATACACACACACACACACATCTTTTTACAGTGTCATAAAACAACTTGGAATAGTGTTTGTATTTGTGTGGAACCGAAAGAATTGAAGAGTTGTTTTGACGCCCATTTGGAAGTGGAAGTTCAATTCCAAGAAAACTCAGCAAATTATTGGAGAAACTTCAAAAAGTAAAACATAAATTCACAACTTTTAGGGCTATTTATTTTATATACTCAAATTCAAATAATTAATTATGTTACAGTATTTTTCTCTCACAATAAATTTAAATTTTAAACGTCAGAATAAAAAATTATAATTTGAGTATACTTTCTAAAAGGACTTTTATTGATTGCAAAAAGGGCAGGCAACATAAGAGGTATGAATATTTGGTAAGATTATCAAACATAAAAAAACATGTTCAAAAAGAGTAGAATATATATGGGGCCAACATTACAAGACTAACGTGGTGCATTATTTGGACTTAGAATTCAACGAAACCATTAATGTGGAGAAATCATTTCGGGGACTGTGATCAATTCTAGGAGTTGTAGTTTTCTGTCCACTGTTCGATCAAACAATTTCTAAAGGGGCCCTTAAGGTTGCATGATTTGAAGCTACTTCATAGAGTAAGGCCCTTTGATGTATGCAAGAGAAATTGTTTTCATTTATTAGAATCTGAACACCCTTTTTTCTTGCCGTGTATCCTATTCATCGCCGATTCAGCTTCTCTTAACGAACCCCATTTTGGTTCTTGTAAAAGGTGGCTCATGATGGGACATAGATATCTGATATATCCTCCCCAACATAAATGCTTCTGTAAAAAATTTAACCACTACCAATATCACAAGATGCTTAGAGAAATACAAGTTCAACTAGGTATAGATCACTTGTTGACGGGCCCTACAAAGATAGATTGCATTATTTGTTAAGGACAATGAATTTTACTTCTTTTTTCACTAGATGAGCTGTTTCCTCAATGGCACGGTACGTAGAGCCTTGCATTACCATAGAGTTTTCATCTTGATCGAGAGTTCATTTTCGAGACAGATTTTCTGCAATCATGATCTGTGTTATAGGAATTGGATTATAGAAGGGTTTACAGTTTCATTTTAAAATGTTAATATTATTAAGTGGAGTGACCTAATATCTTTATAAATTTATCATTATTTTTGTGTTTAAATTACATGACTTTCTCCGTTTATTCTTTAACTTCTACTCTCACAATTAGGTTTCTTATCAATCTCTCCAATCCGGCCCATCAATCTTTGTATGATTTCTTCTGAGATCATCTTGTACATGAACATGGCTAAATTTTGAAACCGGCTTTGATAACACTCGTCAGAATTTGAGATTCCATCTTGAAAGATCAAACTCTTAGGAGTAGCACAAATTTTTTTTTCCTTTTTTTTTAACTCATTGTCCATTTCATGTGTACTTGTGTAGCTAACAAGAGACTTTGGATTTGCACACTTACAACATATTCATTCAGTTTCAAAACTCTGTCATATACATTTACATTTTTAAGATTTTGTGAACTTAATATTACGTGGCATGATCATCCAATTGGACAAGCGAACAGGACACCAAAACTTGACGGATGATTTGGTTCCATATGGAAAATACTATGGATGATGAAACGCGAAAGAGGAAACACTGAAAAGTGGTTTTAATTAAAACAAACAAAACTTCCAAGGGGGTTAAGTTGAAATCTACCCGTGATACATGGGCGCAAAACAATGTCGTTAATCGGTGGATTTTTCTGTCTAATGTCCAATCAATATCTACAAGGGACCCTTAATTTCACTGATGATCAGATTTTTCCTAGAAGAAACCTTTGAATGTGTGTAAGAGTTGTTATTTTCACTTGTGAACATCTTTTTGTTACAAGGTAAGTTCTGTCACATTCATTGTGGTTCCACCTGCATAACATTATCTAAAATCATCCCAAAAATTATTCATGTTTGTCCCAATAAAAGGTTGGTCATACTGGCCCATTTCCCATTACGGTCTTCATATTCCTTATCAACAGTGAAGTAAGCATATTTTCCTGTTTGCTTTCTAGCTTAAAGGGCAAATTTGAAAATTCTGAATCACTCCAATGGCAAAAATTGCAAAATGTTGAGAACACCTCATGTCTAGACAGCGATTTACTGAACTTAATATTTCATGTCAATCCTTACCCTTGTCTGTATTAGTCTGTTATTGTCTGAACTGATAAGAATCAGAATGTTTATATATTGAAAAGAAAGAAAGAAAGAAAGAAAAAAAAAAGAATAAAAAGGAGTTATGAAAAATGACTTTATGGAATATGTGGTCATGGTTTTTTTAAAGACTACAGAGTGCTTACTTCCCTTTTCTTTTTGGAAGAGGTTATGACCCTGGTGCATCATCCTACCAACAGCATTTTTCATAATCTTCAAAAGCGAGCTGCCAGCTTTTTAATATTCTTTCCTGGAGATTTCTCGAGGGAGTATGATAAAGACATAATTTTTAATCGTTGGTGTTGGGATTTTTGATTGGCATTATTTTGCAAATTGATTTGGAGCTTTGATTTGATTCTTGGAGATTGATATGCTGCACGTTTTACATGTAGAAAGAATCGGTTTTGATTGAAATTTGTTTCTCTTATCCCGTTTTCTATTTTGATGAGTCAATTATGATTATTTTGGTAGCTTTAATGATTGATGAAATATGTTTAGGAAACTTGATTTGCAGCGAACATTGAAGGAAACTATTTCATTGGATTGATTTGATTGAAGTTAACTTTTTATATGTTTTTGAAAAGTTGAATTTTAATGAGTTGGTTGATTTACAAAGGAGATTTTACTTGACTGTACAAAAAATTTCAGGTTCATAAAATATTTTGCAAGGATCATACTGCATTTATATGAGAAAATTTTAAGAATCAAGTAAGTTGACTTTCGGAGCAGTTTGACAGCTCTGTTGCAGTAATTGTTACAACAGAATCTGTAAAAAACTGATTGCAGCGGATTTGATTGGAAGATTTCATCTTAAGATGAATTGGCTATATGTTTAGAGTCTCACAATAATCTCAATAGGCCTTTAGAGCCTCAGAATTACAGAGAGTCAAATTATTTTATGAGTGTTTATTTTTTTACTATTTCACATGTTGTTTATATTTATTACAACAAATTTAACAACAAACTTAATAAAGAGGCTTAAACCGGTACCAATAGTCAGATCATTACAAAATCATGCCACATTAAGAAAAATTTACGACAATTTGAAAAAACTTGATAAATACATTAAAACTATATCATGTCGACATAGTATTTCTTTTTTAATAATCTACCACAGAATTCTCCGACATTGTTGCTTCCCCCACTAAAATTCAGGTTGCTATCAACCTTAACATCAACAAAGAGGGAAAAAAAAAACTTTCAGATTGTTAGAAGGGCATTTCTCTATCCTGCATCATTTGACAATTCAGTTGTAATCTCTTATGGGTGAGGCTTTTCTTTTTCTAACTGTCATTTTTCTCTCGAGGAGAAAATTGGGAAGATGGGCACATTTGTGGAGGGGATTGTGTCTCACGTGAGAAAGTTGTGCCATTAGCCGCCAATCAAAACTTACCAATCTCATCCTCTCAACAAAATTTCTCCAATCCAATACCACCACACACTAAATGCACCATCACAATCATCTATTCCTTTTATTACCCCTAAAGAATCCAATAATACCACCATATGCCACTCATTTCCCCTCTCCAAACTACCCCACATGAGGGGGGGAAAAGGATACCATTTGGATAATTTCAGTTTTGTGAAGGAAAAAAAAAAGAAAAAAAAAAAGAAAGAAAACTGAAAGCTTGATGAAATTTCAGTTTCTAGCTCGTTATTATTGCATAATGGTTTTAGTTTTAGCTTAGTTTGTCACTGAAAACTTGAAAAAGAGGTCAAAAGAAACAAAAGAGTACCCTGCATTACTACACATATAATTGCATCTCAAGCTTTCTTTTCTTCTATGCTTCACTAGCACTATATATAATGGAGAAATGATCATGACTAAGGATTCCTCAGTCACTACCATGGTAGATCTTGATCAGGAACAAACAGCACCAATTGCTGTCACTATGAACTCTAAAAAGAAAGAGCTTCTTTCCACTGCTTTGAAGAGAACAAGTGAATGGTCAGTTTTTTCTTTTTTCGTTTTTGTTCTAACTTATCTATTTCATTTTCCAAGTTGGTTCTTTTGTTTGCTCTTCATTAAGATGTATTTGAAATTTTTGCAGGATTTTTTCTCAGGAGATTCCTAGTGATGTTACTATCGATGTAGGAGGCGTTTCCTTCTCATTACATAAGGTATCTTGTACCTCAGTTTCAAGACTTGCATAATTTAGTTTTGAGCAAAAACTATATTTTGTTATCAATAGATAGAAAGAGAATCTCCCGATAGGCTAAAGTTATTCATTTGACACAAAGTCAGAGATTCAATACAAACTAACACTTTTAGTATCATTTATTCCCTGCTTTATTTGCAGTTCCCACTAGTTTCAAAGTGTGGATACATAAGAAAACTGGTGTCAGAATCCAATGATTCTGATCTCTCCATCATTGAGCTCGCCGACATCCCTGGCGGGGCAGAAGCGTTTGAGCTTGCTGCCAAGTTCTGCTACGGGATAAACTTCGAGATAAGCACGGAAAACATAGCCATGCTGAGGTGCGCAGCGGAGTACCTTGAGATGACCGAGGACTATGCGGTGGGAAACTTGGTGGGAAGAACTGATGCTTATTTGAATGAAGTGGCTTTGAAAAGCCTTGCAAGTGCAGCCTCAATTCTACACATATCAGAGAACTTTCTCCCAATAGCAGAGAAGGTGAAATTGGTGAGCAAATGTATAGATGCAATTGCATATATAGCCTGCAAAGAGAGCCAATTCTGTATGTCAGGTAGGAGTGAGAGTGGAAGTGAGGGTGTGATTCCCTCAGCAGTTTCTGAGCCAAAACCAATTGTGGATTGGTGGGCTGAAGACTTGACTGTCCTTAGAATTGACATGTTTCATAGAGTTCTTGTTGCAATGATGGCAAGAGGGTTTAAGCAATATGCTCTTGGGCCAATCCTCATGCTCTATGCACAAAAATCTCTCAGAGGTTTGGTGAGATCCTCATTCTAAAACAACTATTATGCTGTTTGAGTTTAGATCCGTCGTCCCATTTTCCTGTCTCATTGGCTATTCCTTAATACTATTTTGAATCTGATAGCTCATTTAATTGCTTGAGCAGTTTTAGCATTTAGTATTTATTATGTGATCAAATTCTTAAATTTAGATGATATGGCAAATAATATTAGAGGGACAACCAATGAGACAGAAAATCTTAGGGCAGTAAATCTGGACTCAATGTTGTCTTCATTATTTCAATAGAATTGTTATGAAATCAATTCAAGTACAATCCTTTTGTGGCGCAGGAGATATTTGGGAAGGGAAGGAAGAAAATCGAGCCGCGACAAGAGCACGAAAAAAGGGTTGTGCTAGAAACCATTGTGAGCCTTCTACCAAGGGAGAAAAACGCCATGTCAGTTAGCTTCCTGTCTATGCTTCTCCGAGCAGCGATATATCTTGAGACGACGGTCGCTTGCCGCTTGGATTTGGAGAAGAGAATGGGAATGCAGTTGGGGCAGACCGTTCTGGATGATCTTTTGATTCCTTCATACTCATTCACTGGTGACACATTGTTTGATGTGGACACTGTTCAGAGGATCATGATGAACTTCCTTGATTTCGAAATCGGGGGTAATCGGATGGTGTTTAGTGGAGATGATGAGTATGTGTCTCCTCCACCAAGTGAACTTGAGCGAGTTGGGAAATTGATGGAGAACTACATAGCTGAAATAGCTTCTGATAGAAACTTATCTGTTTCCAAATTCATTGGTCTCGCTGAACTTATTCCAGAACAATCAAGGGTAACTGAAGATGGAATGTATAGAGCCATTGATATCTACCTAAAGGTGCGCATTCTTTTCAGCTTCTTTTGCTTTATTTCTACAACATATTGCTTATCATAAATTCATCATGTTCTATGCATAGAAGTAATAATCAAGCCCTCCATTAAAATTGATATTTTATCCGCTATAATCTACTTGAGCCTTTTCAATCATCACTCTTCGGACCTCTGCAGTTTCTTTTTTTAGTTGACATTTTAAACATCTTTAAACCAGAGCAGAAAATTGGTTTATATTAGAACTTATATATATATATATATATATATATAGACACACACACACATATATGGATGACCAATTAAACTGTCATTGTGGTTAAAAGAGGAAAAAAAAAAGAGGCTATTACCAAAATTGACACACTGTAATCTAATTGTGTAGTTTTCTACTTTTCTGGTTGTGAAAAAATAACTATAGTGAGTGACCACACTTTTGAACCTCTTAAAGCAATTATTTTCTCGTTTTCACATTTACATTTTGAACAGCTTTTAAGTAGACCAAACTGGCAATCAATATCTGCATATGAGCAAACACCAAAAAGCATTTAGACATTAATAAAGATTGACGGTTTTTTCACCGAATTAGCACAAAACAGTACTCAACCAACCAAACCAACATCTCATTTTTCCCCCAAATTTCAATGTTCACTTTTATTTTTCCCTTTTGAATTATAAAATCAACAGGCTCACCCTGTTCTAAGCGACATGGAGAGGAAGAAAGTGTGCAGCCTAATGGACTGCCAGAAGCTGTCCCGCGAGGCCTGCGCACACGCCGCGCAAAACGACCGGCTCCCTGTCCAGACGGTCGTCCAAGTCCTCTACTACGAGCAGCAGCGCCTCCGGGACGTCATGAACGGCTCCCTCGTTGGCGGCGAATCCCCCGCATCCGCTCTCCCTTCCAAGCTCAACTTATACTCCACAGACATCCACCCGGTCTCCGACGAGCTCTCCGGCCTGCGAAGAGAGAACGAGGACTTGAAGATCGAGCTCGTGAAGATGAAGATGAAGATGAAAGAGATCGAAAGATCGACGGCCGTTAAGTCGGCCGTGAATAGTCCTCAGAGTGTGATCATGTCCTCTGCTGATAAGCCTCCTCGGCCAAGAAAATCCTTCATGAACTCAGTCTCAAAGAGGCTGGGAAGGCTTTATCCTTTTGTGCGTTCTGATGGAGTTACACCTTCATACAAAGGAAGAACAAAACCAAGCAAGGATCGACGGCATTCCATTTCATAGGAGCATTTGGTAAGAGATCAAGTCTTGTTGAATGGTTAGTGGCTTTTACTAGCTATACATATATAAGTCTGTATTTATTTCTTTTTTATCTTTTTCTTCATCTTCTTCTTTATCATGTTTTGATTCTGTATGAAAGATTGGTGTACATAATATCGTCACTTGTGTTTTTGAGTAAGATGAGTAATTTAATGGTTGGAAAATTATTGTAAAGAAAGTGGAATGGAATCTTGTGTGTGCTAATTGTTTTTGGACTTGACTTTTATTCTAGACCAAAAAAAAAAAAAAAATTCTGCTACCGTTTTATCACCATTGCATGCATGTTACTAGTGTCATATATGAGACTCAATAATGTACATGAATTAACACACTGACTTAGTGAGAAAACAGAATCCAATGCTTGGAATCACTTGTAAGTTGGCGTTATTAGTACATTATATGCACGCTTCACTGAAGGCATTTCCAATGATTGGTCCAACTCTGAAAGTAAAGAATTTGGTCAAAATCTCATCAAAATAAAAGAAAAAAATATATATACAAAATGACACAACGCACCACAGATTTTACGCTCAAAATAAAACCCTATTGAGTTTAGATTTTTAATATTCTATCATAGAATTCTCATTCAAATAAAACCAATATTTGAGTTCAAATTAGGAGAATTTGTTTAGGTATGATATGAAAAAATATCCTACCAGTATGACACACTGTGGTATCTGTGGAAAGTTTAGTGTGAAAAGAATTAAACAACTGAAATACTATTTGTGTTAGTAATGTAGATGGGTTGAAGGATCAAGAAAAATGTGATGACAGAACATGTACCCCAAGTTGATACAAAGCAATGAGGTTTTATTTATTTATTTATTTATTTTGTAGCTGTGTTGTGGGGTCTCTATCTAAATAATTGAATCCTTGAAGATAAAGAGCTTTTTTAAAAGTAAGACTTGCTCAAGGGACAGGCTAGCAACTAGAGCATGTTGATGTCGGGGCAAAATCATCATGGAACCTAAAAGATTGTTCCTTAAATTATGTGACTCTTTCAAAGCATATCTTTTTTTTTTTCTTTTAAAGAAAAACTTTCTGAATTTTGTAAGGCATGATTATTGTCTTTGGATAACCCTCTGTTCAAAACCATTAATTTGAGGCCTCCTTAATTTGAAATGGTAATCTTGTTCTAATAGCTATGGGCATGTTTAGTTTATTGATTTGAGTTTTTAATTCGAATTGAGATGTGATTTTATGTGAGAACTTTTTACTGTAGTAAAAAAGTTAGATGTGACTGTTTCTGAGAGTTTTTACCGTAATAAAACTCGAATTTTAAACTCAAATCGGTGAAATGAATGGTGCATATATCTCTTTGGTCTGGAGAGATATAATTATTTCATTGATTGTATTAAGTCCAAAATACAATATATGAAATCACGTAGAGGGAATAGAAACAAATCAATAAAGCCCTTCAATTTAATGGATGGTCCATATGACAGGTAAACTTTTTCTTGCTGAATAACGTTTATAATATCACAGAAAAATCCCTAAATAAATAGACTTTTGTTGGGATTTTTTTCGTCACGTAAAGGTAAAGTATTAGTACTGTTGAGTCTTTCACCTGACAAAATGGCCCAAAACATAAATATTGCAGTGTAATCAAACCAAACTACAGTGCTTAATATCCACTTCCTTTTGATTTGAACATATTTTTTCAAATTAGTAACAAGATCATCAATTTCATGAGCTCTTTCCAAAAACTTGGGCAAATGCATGAACAATATTACTGTTTCGAAAACGTCAATTTTAAAATTAAAAAAAAAAAGGGGTCACGTTTTATATTAGATTGGGAGTTTGCAAATTGCAATGGCAACCCAAGGAGAGACAAGTACATGACGACTAAAATCTTTACATACAAGCTCACTTCCATCAACCTATTACATTAGAAACTACTTAATCAGAAAAATTCACATCTCACCCAAACATCAATCAAGATCATCATCAGAAGAATTAGCCAATAGGAAATGATCTCCAACCAAGTCTAAAAACTCTTATAATAGACTCAACTCAAAAATTTAAAAAAAAAAAAAAAAAAAAAAAAAAAAGAACACATCTCAAGTCATGTTCAAGCTCAAAACTTGGAAAAGCCAAGGAGGGTGTTTTAGCCTCAACTCTTCTTCAACATCACCGTTCAACGACGTCGTATTGCCAAGTTGGCACCCGCCGTTTAGCTCTACCCTTCTTGTCGTTTCGCCGCGAGAGTTAATCGTCCGCTTCATCTGGCTCGACCCGGTCGAAGAGGAAGAGAAGCTCGGACCGGAATCCGAGTTCATTGGCGCCTCCGCCGTTTTCCTAATTCGCCGGTTGTTGTTTTTGTTGTTGTAAGTTGTGGGACCCAGAGTAAGCTCAATTTCGCTCTCGTCTATGATCTCATCACTACCGTCCGATTCCTCCGATCTGATGTTTTCTGCTGGTCGTCGCTCTAGATCCAGTACTGATACTCTCTCTCGTCTACTACTTTGTGATTTCATGTTCTTCATCAATATCTTCTGAATTTGATATAACCGGTGAAGTTCATATACCTACAAAATATATATACACATATATATCACATTATAACTAAAGCCAGAAACCAATTGATTATTGAAGTGTAACGTTACAATAATATACATATATAGGATATATTACATATGTATGTATATAAATGTACCTGTTGTTTGAAAGTTTCCTCGTGCTTAAGCATGGCCATCCTCATGTCTTCCTTGTCGTACGGTTTGAAAAGGAGCTTCTCCATTGAAGCTTAATTTTCTGCAACTGCCCAGCTGATTGCCTTTTATCTGTCGAAACCCGAGAGAGTATAGATGTTGACTCTTTATACAATGGAATTCATATGTTGACCAATGTACGTACATATATATATATATACATATGTGCGGTGTCTATATATGTTTATATAAATATATATATATATATATTTCTCGGCTCTAAACTTGTTCTCAGAAATGCATATATATCCTATCAAATCGACGATATTAATGCTGTTTCACTTTCTCACGCTTCTATATTATACCTGTCAAACAAGAGAGAAAAAAAAAAGATTAATATTTAGAAAGGTAGGGGTAAAGAATGGAGAGTTAGCTAGATAGGCCAATCAATTATGAGTGCTTTTAGAACTCATTTTAAAATAATTTTATTTTATTTTTGTATGAAAATAGAAATGAAAATGTTTTTAATTTCAGACAGAAATTATTTTTAAAAATACGTTTAATAATTTTTTTAAAAGATTATTTTCAGTATAAAAAAATCAATTAATGTCTCTCTCTCTCTTTAGAGAGAGGAGAAAACGGAAAAAAAAATGAAAAATGACTAAAAGTCATTTTTAATTTCTCTCCTATTTTACACTGAATCAAAAAATTGTTTTCATTTTTTTTAATTATGTCAAATACTGTTTCTCTTCTTTTTTATTTTTTTCTCAAAAACGTAAAAAATAAAAAGAAAACAACTTCAAACATAGCATATAATTTGGTAACATATATATAGACATATATATATAAACAAAGTGACGTTAACTACTTTTGAGCACAATTTGTCTGTTTGTTTTGATTGTTGTTCTTCTTTGTGTTAAGTCACTCTGGGCCACAATAATATAGTTTGTTTTGTGATCATACAAAAAATATCTCACAAACACGACAGTTGTGTATCTCATCCATCAGCACAGTAATTCCCTATCATGTGCTTGGCTTTTTTGTTGTTATTTGTGCGTGTTCGTGTCCGCATTCTTTGCTAGATTTTTATTACCTTCAATATTCTTAATAAACCAAACAGTTCATCCAGTTAATTAAGCTTCCAAACAGAAATCAAACTTTTTCCTAACATTTATTTTTCTGTTCATAATATGCTAATTAATACTTATATTACGATTTCCAGATCTTCCAAGGCTTCCTCTTTTTTTTTTTTTTTCAATTTATTTGAATGATAATTTATTTGGTGTTTACATCAAAACTGTGAAATAATTTGTCTTACGTGAGGAAAACTAACAACTAATTAGAAGAATATCTTCTAATCAAAACGGGGAAACTAATTTGTCTTACATGAGGAAAACTAGTCAACTTAGAAGAATATCTTATATACAAGCTTCTTAAATCATCATGACCTATATATGACCATGGAGATATCTGTAAATAATTTTCTGTTGAGAATTGTTTGACATAACCAAAAACAGATAAAACTCAATTTCAATCATACGATGGAGTCTCATATATTGTACTATTTTACAGCTTTTATGGATCCGATCAATAACATTAAAACCTCTCTATCTTCACAAATCGATATTAAACTAGTACGTACAACTTAGAGAGAGAGAAAGAGAGAGAGAGAGAGAGAGAGAGAGAGAGAGAGAGAGACAAATTTATGTATTTGAAGATCATCAAAAAACATAAATGCATGATGAGAACTTAATCAGACTATGCAAATTAAGAAACTATCATCAATCTTTTTCCTTAATTACATGTAGTTTTGATTAAAATTCAAACAAAATCTCATTAAGATGGGCAAGAGGAATATAATTATGAAGTTTTAAGATTTTCTCACCTGTTGTAAGGATCGGTTGAAGGAGCTGATAATTAAGCAAAAACTGACGAAGAAAACGGATGATCTTTCCAAGGAAATCCAAATATCAGTACGTACAAAGCTGATCTTCTCACAATTCCCCAACTAGAGCAACACCTGTTTGGGCTTTGTTTGAGAAAAGAGAAATATAGGATCTAGCTTGCCCTCACATTCCCCATCAGTATATACTGCAACCCACATATATAAATATATATATATATATATATATATATAATACCAAACAGGTGAAGAATTTAAGATTCTTTCTCTCTCACAGAAACCAAAGTGTTTGTTGCACTTGGGGTTTGAGGCATGCCAAACAAAATCCCAGTGCCTTGGCCAATCTCATTCAAGTTTTGTGAAAGAGATGCCTCAGACAAGTCCAGCAATGCAAAATATATTAAATTCTATTATTTTAATCAAGAATATAAAAAATCCGCATAATATTTATATATATGTACAGAAATATTATATGCAATTTTTGAGGATCACAAGGCTTTATATGTGCTCAATTTAAAAGACAATCATCAAAATAACAGCTTAGCCTGCCAAGGCGAATCACATGCACCCAAATATTATATACATCACAGATAACATATATAAAATCATTTCTCTCTCTCTCTCTCTAATTAATATATTACTTTATATTACTTGTACAAGGCACATTTATATCAAAAAGATTTATAAGTTGGCATGTCCTGGCCCGCCGACAATTAGATCATGACCGTACGATATATGGGTATACCTCACGAAACAGTCCAAAAGCTTAAGACTGGCCACATATATACAGGATATATATATATATATAAATCTCAAATGATCCAATTACAAAAGCAGAACCAAATAATTATGGGTATTTATTAATTATCTAGGGAAAGGGTAATGTTTAAGAAATCATGTTGCATTATGTGTATGTGTACAATGTAACGTTTATTGGATATTGGTGGGGGCTGAATTGTTATACTTTATCACATCCCACAAGGAAGAAGACCCAGCACAATGATTGTAACCGTTAATTGGCCATGTGGGTGTGGGGGGTGTGAAAAGAATCGAGCGCTAGATATATCACATCAGACGGTCCGGATTAGTGGACCCATTTACACACACACACTTAAAATTACTCAGTCGAAAAAAAATATGTGCATGACTCTGAAACACTAAGCCGCCGTTATTAGTTAATGAATTTAGAATAATGATTCATAATTATTTTCGATTTATGTGTATTTTTTTTAAGAGAAAACACTGTAACGAATCACAAACTAGTAGCGAATCACGAATTATGATTCAAATCATGACACGAATCTTCATACCAAACACCACGCAATTTATGACAGATGGATAAACATCCTTTATATAGGAAATAGGAAGAGAAGATCTGAATTTTGAGGTCAGAATTAGACAAGGGACGGATTTGTTGCAAAATCAAACAGCTATACATATACACCTATACACACACACACACACACATATATATAATAATAATAATAATAATAATAATGGAATTCTAAAATCTACACCCAGCTTTTCTCTAAATCTAACTAAAATCTTCAGTTACCGAATTGGAAAGTAACGTTTTGGGCATACTTTGAATGGTTTTGGTGATTGATACACTTGACAAAATGGCACACAACTAAAACTTGATTTTATAGTTGAGATCTCCCCACCTGATTCTAAATCTGTTACGAAACAAATGACTTGCAATTGCATGTGGTTTTGAAAAGCGTCCGTAATACGATACAAAGTTAAATATGCTCACCTACAAATTAGGAAGACGTTGAATATTTTCCCAAGTAAGGCACCGTAGTAATTATTATATATAGTTTGATAATTGAAAATGACCTATAACTATAAGCTATATATAAGAATTATGAAAATAATTAAGTCTTCTGATGAGATTGAGAGAGACATAGAGTGATAAGATAAAAGATCAGATATGATCACATGGTTGTAATTAGAGTAGTGTTGGGTTAGTGGAGTTGCTAATAATTAAGACTTTTCTCACTCCAGGTATTTTCTACTTTCTTGTAATAAGCTATTAAATTCATATTGATTGGAGAGAGAGAGAGAGACAAAGAGAGAGAGAGAAAGAGAAATGGACATAGAAGCACGCGTTGCCGGTGTGGGGAGTTGCAGTCGTATGGGGCGGTGGGTCCGATATTGGGTTTGCTGAAAAAGTCTGAGCCCAGTGCCTTGCGCTGTTCTTTGGTCCCACCTCAATAGAGAAACTCATTCAGATTTCAGACTCAAAAGAAAAAATAAAATTATAATCTTCGTAAACCTTTTAACTCACTATATATTAGGTATTGTTTGGTACAATGAGTTTTGAATTCGAAATTATGATTCTAATTTAAATTAGTGTTTAGTTTATTGATTCGAGTTTTTAATTTGAGTTTAGGTATGACTTTATGTGAGAATTTTTTACTGTAGTAAAAAAATTAGATGTAACTGTTTCTGAGAATTTTTTATTATAATAAAACTCAAATCGGTGAAATGAACACGATCCTTATAACTCACTATAGTTGTTGCGCTTAACACAGTTTTTTTTTATAATAATTTTAAGTTTCTTTTTTTGCTAATCAAATTAAATAATTTTAAGTAATTAGATTTGTATTAGATTTATGAGTTTTGCAAAAAAAAAAATTTATATTATTGTGATTTTATCAAAATTTAACGTTTACAAACATACATGTAAATAAGAATAACCTTCCCAGAAAGCCAGAAAATGCGAGAGATCCGGAGAAGAAAAACAATAAATATACAAAAGTAATCAACAGATTTCCAGATTGTAGTACAAGTTAGCATATATATATATATATTCATATATACTAGACACCGACATGGGCAGCAATCAGACTCCTTCCACTGAGTCAATGTATTGAAATCCTGAAACACTCTCACTGAGGTAATTAGAAATATAT